AATCCTGAAAGAACTGCATGCGACACCCGGAGAGGAGTTGGATTTACTCATTAAGTGGCTAGGTGCAGAGTCAAAGAAATTTGCCATGAGCATGAGAACAGCAAATCCTAAGGATCCCCAGAAAGCTGTGCGACTGATATGGCAGCGCCTACAAGAACGCTACGGTAGCCCAGAACTTGTTGAGGCCGCCTTAAAGTCTAAACTGGACAAGTTTCCGTCTGTGTCTATAAGTGACAGTAAAAAACTGTATGAATTGGCTGATCTGTTGACTGAAATAGGTGCAATTAAGGAGGACCCTACCTATTCAACCCTTCTGTCATATTTTGACTCTTCCAGTGGAATCTTACCTGTTGTGAGGAAGCTCCCAGTGAACATTCAAGAGAAGTGGATTACTAGAGCTTCGGCCTTTAAGAGACATTCTGGACAACCACATCCTCCATTCAAGTATTTTGTGGACTTCATAATGGAGATGAGTCAAATTAGGAATGACCCTGGACTATGTTTACAAGAACGGAGGAAAGAAAACATACAGCGCAGGGTAATAATCCGAAAGACGGATCTTGAAGCTAACAATAGTGAAAAATATAAGGAACATTTTGATCCTAGAAGGAAATGTCCTATTCATCTGAAGGATTTTCATGCCTTGAATAAGTGCAGAACTTTTCGCATGAAACCAATGAAAGAACGCACAGACACGCTTGTAAGGCATGGAATTTGCTTTAAATGTTGCAATTCTACCGAGCACTTTTCAAGGAACTGTAATGAGAAAGTAACATGTACAGTGTGTGGAAGTGATGCACATCCATCAGCACTTCATGTGGACCACAAGAGCCCTCAAGGCGGGGAGAGAAAGCAAGATATAGCAAGAACTACTGTGAATAATAAATGTGCACAGATTTGTAGTGGTATCCAAGGAGGGAAGTCATGTTCAAAAACAGTTCTTGTTAAAGTGTATCCACAAGGAGAACCAAATAACTTTGTGAAGACTTATGCTTTGATCGATGATCAAAGTAATTGCTCATTAGCAATAAGCGAACTCTTTGAGATGTTAAACATAAACTCTGAGACAAAGGATTATCAATTACAAACATGCTCAGGAGTTAAAACTATGACTAGCAGAATCGCCAAAAACCTGATTGTGGAATCATTGGATGGCAGCACAAAGCATTTGTTGCCGCCTATTGTGGAATGTGATGAAATACCGAACAATCGAGATGAGATTGCAACCCCAGCTTTAGCGAGAAAGTTTCAACACCTCTCAGAAATAGCATGTCACATTCCCGAACTAGACCCTCAAGCAAAGATATTGCTTCTCATTGGCCGTGACTTGATTGTGGCACACCACGTCCTCGACCAGAAAATTAGCAATGATGCTCCGTATGCCCAGAAATTGAGTCTCGGTTGGACGATCATTGGTGAGACATGCTTGAACAAGGCACACTTACCTGCACATGTTTCGGTGAACAAAACATACTTGCATGACAATGGTAGGCCTTCTATCCTGTTGCCCTGCAACAGCTTACTCACAGTTAAGGTTCCTCGCATCGACCAGGAAGAGTTTTCCTCTGTGTTCGAGAGAACGCCAAATGATGATAAGCCAGGACCTTCTCAGGAAGACTTTATTTTCCTCAATATTATGGAAAGTGAGTTCCATCGCAACCAAGAGGGGGAATGGACAGCTCCCCTACCTTTTAAGCCTGGACGACCCAGACTTCCAAACAATTACACTCAAGCAGTCAAGAGAGCCAAAAATCTAGACTCAAATCTCAGGAAGAATCCTACAAAGATGGATCATGCCCTAACTTTCATGGAAGGGATCTTTACCAAAGGACATGCTGAAATAGCCCCACCTTTGCAGTCTAATGATGAGTGTTGGTACCTGCCAATATTTGCCATATATCATCCTAAAAAGCCAGGTAAAATTATGATGGTCTTTGATTCCTCAGCTTTATATAATGGAATTTCATTGAATTCAGTTCTATTATCTGGACCGGACTTGACCAATAACTTGTTAGGTGTGCTTCTTCGATTTCGCAAAGAGAGAATCGCAGTCATGGCGGACATTGAACAAATGTTTTATTGTTTCCGTGTGACCAAAGAGCATCAAAACTACTTACGTTTTTTGTGGTACAGGAACAATGACCCATCAAATGAACTGATTGAATTTAGGGATGACTGTGCATGTTTTCGGCAACACACCCTCGCCATCTGTTGCCACGTACGGCCTGAGACAATCTGTTGCTGATCATCCAGATCCTGAAATTATAGAATTAATGCACAGAAACTTCTACGTGGATGATTTATTGGTATCAGTGCCACTTGAGGAGCAGGCTGTCAAACTTATCAGAAAGACTCAGGAAGCCTTGAGGAATGGTGGGAAGCTCAGATTACACAAAGTGGCCTCCAACTCTCAAGAAGTGATGAGTGCATTTGATGAAGGAGAAAGAGCTAAGGACTTGAAACACATTGATTTGCGACTGGACGAGGCACCTTTACAAAAGAGTCTAGGACTGTCATGGGACTTACAGACTGATTCCTTTAAGGTTGATGTGTCTCTTGAGTTGAAGCCCTTTACAAAGCGTGTGATGCTGTCTACATTAAACAGCCTTTATGATCCCATTGGTTTCATCAGTCCAGTAACGCTGAAAGGAAAGATATTGTTTCGAAAGGCCCTGAATTCATCATTTGACTGGGATGACCCTCTTCCACCTGAGTTTGAGGATGAATGGCGGAATTGGTGTGATTCACTAGAGGACTTGGCCCATGTTAGCATCCATAGGCCATACACATCGTCAGGCTTGCAGGACGCTTCTAGAGTAGAAGTACACGTTTTCTGTGATGCCTCAGAGATTGCTATCTCTGCAGTTGCTTACCTTAAGGTACTTACCATGGATCATACAGACATTGGATTCTTGCTTGGGAAATCTAAGTTAGCGCCGGCACATGGACACACAGTTCCCCGACTAGAACTGTGCGCAGCTGTTCTTGCGAGTGAAATTGCTAACATAGTGACAGATAACTTAGACGCCAGAATTGACCATATACAGTTCTATTCAGATAGTCGCATAGTAATAGGTTACCTGTACAACACCTCAAGACGATTTTATACTTATGTCTCAAACAGAGTTCAGAAAGTACTTAAGGTTGCTCCAGCCAGTCATTGGACATATGTGCAGTCAGCAAAGAACCCAGCAGATATCGGTTCAAGAACAATTTCAGCAAAAGACCTTCAAGGTAGTGAGTGGATCAAGGGACCTGACATACTCTCCAGTGTTCAGGACTATAAAGAGGAATTTCATTTGGTTGATGCAGACCAGGACAGTAATGTGAGGCCACAGCTGTCAACCCTTATGACTGTCACAAAGAAACTATTCGGGATTGAACGATTCCAGAGATTCTCCACCTGGAAGTCATTGGTAAATGCTATTGGCATCTTAAGATATGTTTTATTGAAAAGGCATGGAATTCAATGTGATAGGTTTTCTTCAAAATTTCGTCGAACTACAGAGACATTCATCATTAAGTTAGTTCAGCAGGAGACCTTTCACCTGGAAATATCAAATCTTCAAGCAGGGAAGGCCATTTCTAAGAACAGTTCTATTGTCAACCTTGACCCTTACCTGGATGATGATTCCATTTTAAGAGTTGGCGGACGCCTTCGATCAGCGGAAATTGACCACAATTTCAAAAATCCCTGCATTATTCCCCGATCACACACAGCCCGACTTCTCATCAGCCATCAACATGACATGGTGCAACACCAAGGAAGACACTATACAGAAGGAGCCGTAAGAAGTGCTGGCTATTGGGTTATTGGCTGTAAGAAACTAGTGTCGTCTGTAATTTACAACTGCGTAATGTGCCGCAAGTTGCGTGGACGTTTAGAGCATCAGAAAATGGCAGATCTACCGTCAGTTCGAGTTCAGCAGTGTCCACCATTCACCTATGTGATATGTTTGGTCACTGGGAGGTGGTGACAAGGAAGACACGTGGAGGAAGTTCCAATAGCAAGCGGTGGGCAATATTGTTTACCTGCCTGTCCTCCAGAGCTTCTCATATTGAAGTGGTAGAAGATATGTCTTCATCGGCCTTCATCAACGCTCTTCGCCGCTTTATTGCCATTCGAGGAAGAGTGGCAGAATTTAGGTCTGATAGAGGCACTAATTTCGTTGGAAGCACAGATGCGTTGGGAATCAGTGCAGTGAATGTAGAGGACCCAACCTTCAGAAACTTTTTGACCAAGAATGGCTGCATTTGGATTTTCAACGCCCCCCACTCTTCCCATATGGGTGGTGTTTGGGAAAGAGTTATTGGACTTGCTAGACGAATTCTCGATGCCATTCTTCTAAAGCAGCCTAAGCGTCAACTTACTTACCCATGATGTCCTTGTAACATTGATGGCAGAAGTAACAGCAATACTCAACAATAGACCATTGGTTCTTGTTTCTATGGACCCACACAACCCATTGGTACTTACCCCTAATATGTTGCTCACTCAGAAGAGTGAAGCAGATGTTCCACCCTCTCAGGAACTTGACATAAGAGACATGTATGTTTCTAGCTGGAAACATGTACAGGTTATTGCCCAACAGTTTTGGAAACGGTGGCACAACGAATATTTGCAACTTCTTCAGCAACGGAGAAAGTGGACAGATTCCAAGGACAATCTTCAGATCGATGATGTTGTTCTACTTCGAGAAAAGGAAGCTCATTGCAATGATTGGAGTATGGGTGTTATCAATCGAACATTCCCTGATGATGACGGCAAGATTCGAAAGATCGAGGTTCGCACCAGCAGAGGAGGACAGCTCGTTCATTATGTGCGGCCAATTACAGAAGTTGTTCTTCTAGTGCCACATCATTGATGTAAAGACTGTGTTGCGTAAAATGTTGTGTAGTGACCGGCGTCAGGCGGGGAGTGTTCTGACACTTTCCGGATTATTATGTTCTATTTTTAGATTCTATGTTTTATATGCGCCTAACGTTAGAGAAACGTTGCGTATGCGTTCAGCAGCATGGCATGGCTGCTCACGACTTCGGTCGTCTTATTTAATTGCAGCTGAGTATGTGTTCCCATGGTGTAAGTAATGTTATTTGTGTAATTTTGTATATTGTGTATGCTCTGTGTGCGGTTAAAATTATTTTGAATAATAGTTTTGCAATGTTTACATTATTTCCGGTGAGGAAATTCGAACGTGTGCCATCATTTCGTAAAGTGGTCAATATGAGAAATTATATTTGTAAGTTTATTCAGATATGTGTAAGCAATTCTGATGTTATTATTATGAGCATACTGTGATGTGTTGTTTATTTGTTTATTTTCAGTATTTTACCCTTTCATGTCTTGTCATAAATAAACAGAAAACTGTTTATTGTTGTTTACTTTGGACCTGGCAAGACAAGGGTAACGTCTGCCCGTGTACGCAGCATTGAGGCAGAACAATTATACAGGTTCTCAATTAAAATGAATACAAAATGACACAGAAAAAATGATATCCGTTTCAAACTAACTTTTTGAATAATTATTGCAAGAAGATAGATTGTTATGGTGCATGCAACTCTTTGCAGTATTCAATTTGATGTATCACGCTACATTAAAGTTTCAAAATGAATCTTCGTTATATTCTCTCTGAGCAATAACTATTCTGTTGCTCATTCAATTTTCTCATCTTTCAAAAATAATGTGTTCATAAGCTGATATCAATTTTTTTCTCAGTTATAACACATTATATCTTATGATTTATTTGTGCAGGACAAATGAAAAAAACCCTAAAAATCCATTTTCATTATCAGTTCAAAATTTAAGACTCGCCCGCGTGGCGCAGTGGTTAGAGCGTTTTCTCTGAAGTTGCGGTGTAAGGAGTTGATCCTAACGTCACGGGTTCGAATCTAACTGCGGGACGTGGAGAACGGTCCTTCGGAATAGACCGTATGAACCGATGTCGCAGTAGGTGCTGGCACGAAAAAAAATCCATCGCTGCTCAATGGCCCCGAGTGCTGAGTATAGCTCTAAATTTGCTGTCCTCCACCGGCAAGTGGTAAAACAAACAAAAACAAATTTTAAGATATTCAATTATATTTTTCATCTCTTCTAGTAAATTGATTTTAAGAAAATGTTAAAGACATTATCAAGAGTAAATATACGATGTCTAGCTTTCTTTACGAAGAATTATTTATGACAATGTATTGTTTAAAGAAATGTTGTTTTTTTTTAAGTTGATGTGCGTTTCTCTTATAATTTTGTTTGAATCTGATTCTTCCAACTATGTAACGATGCCTGAAATTAGAGTTAGAGGAAAATAGGAAAAAATTTCATTGAAAAAAAATGCACCAAATAATACAATTTATTTCATTTAAAAAATAAATCCAGTTATTACAAGAGTCGTGACTGTATCGTTTAAGACCCACGTATTTTTAAATGCAAGTTTTGCCATTCTATAGATGATGTTGATGTTGTTTATGCACTGTTTGATATAATAATTAATGGGTGTATTTTGCGTCCTAGCTAATATTTTGCCTCGGACTAGAATGACGCTCTATAATTGGATAACGGACGTCACGTGCCTACCGTCAATATATCTTTGGACGGCGTTCACCTCACCTTTCTTGAATTTTAACAACCTGACATATTTCTTTGGACAGTCACTAATAAATCTAACACGTAATATTGTTTAGAAATTGTTAAACTGTTAACACTTCAAAATTTAAAGAAAAAAAGGATGATAAAACTTATATAAAAAAGAGTTCTATTCATGAATGGTAAGCTGGCAATCAAACTGCAATACGATAAAATTACCATCAATGATACAAAGCTAGCCCTCCCCCTTTTATGTAGTGTCCATGCGTAATGAATTATACTAGAATATTCTCAACCCTTTTGTTATATAAATACACTTCAGGGCATTTAAATTCAAATTTGTAAATAATAAAAGACGAAACACGACAAGAATCTTCGTTTTGTTTTCTAACCTTAACCCTGATTTCCAAATGCAGAACCCTGATAACAGAAACATTGCAATTTTGTCTTCATTTATTGAAACTTGTAAAAGACATTTAGGATTATTGTACTTGCCTTACGTTTAAAAAAAATGTATATATCCTTGTACAACATAAGAAATTTTATTTAAAAGAAAGAAAATACAATCAAGAAACAAAGAAACAAACAGGCTGAAAAGACTTAAAACAAATGAAATTAAATTAAACTACATCCACCATCCCAACCCCAATAAATACTTCTGCCTTGTACATGTACATTGTAGCAGTATTCTGAAATTTACATTTTTTGACTGACATGTTTCATACCAATTGATAAACTAAATTTTACTACGGATTATTCCGTCTACTTGATCAATACATATGGCTCACAGCGGGTGTGACCGGTCAACAGGGAATGCTTACACCTTCTAGGCACCTGATACCACATCTGGAATTTCCAGGGGTTCGCGTTTTATGCCTTGTTCACAAATTAGTATTGCTGCATTTTTAGGTCGATCACAGTTCTTTATCTTCATCTAATTCATTATAAGATCCAAAATAATCCCTCACATATATTCAGCCTATGCAAAGCTGCTCAGTTGATTTTCTAATTCTTTAAGAATAAAGAGTTCCTGGTCTGATATTAATTTTCTTTTTTTCACGGATATAACACATTATCTCTAATGATTTATTTGTACAAGACGAAATGATAAAACAAGACAAACGCAAATGTCGATGTCAATTCGAATTCAAGATAGTTGATAGTACTCATCCGTTCGCGTAAATTTATTTTTAAGAATATTAGATACACGATCAAAAAAGTCATTTGCTCAAAGGTTATACATTCTAAGAAATCTATTATCCCTAACTAGGTTTTACAATACAACATACCACAAGAGTTCATCCTTGTCAAGTCTTCTTGATAAAAATTAAGCATTAAATTAATCTTAAAAGAATATCATAGGTCTCCAGGGTTAATACTTGAGCATTTTGTTTGGCATTTAATTGAACATAGGCGCTCTGTCATGGCAATAAGATTAATATTTTTCAGAGGTACAAATAACAGGAAAGTTCTTTCGAAGGTTAAATTTTCTTTGAATTTAATTCTGATTTTTTTTTTTACAGTCCAATGTAAAGATGTTCTATAATATGATAGGGTAATAGTTGTTAAAGAATAGGTAGAATTAAGAGAAAAGCCTATTAAATGATGTTAAATCATCACTGATCTGAGGAATCAATATTTGTGGATTTTTGGTGGGTCATCCTTACCCAAGATGTTATATCCTCACGAACATTCCCACGAACAATAACATTGTGAATATGTAGGTTCATTGTTTTACACTTTAAATTAAGTCTACACAATCCAGTACAATTTTGGTTTACCATGAACACTGACCCACATCAATTACAGCTTCGAATTAATTCCAAAGTAACAGTTTTTAAATCAACTGAACTTAATAAAAAATAAGGAAATAAAATAAATCAAAGTACTGAAAGTACTGGGAAGCGCTAAGCAATGTTTGAAATTCATCAGAATTATTTTGAATTTAAATTGTCTGTTGTATTGGAAGAAGTATTATGTTGACAGTGCAACCGCGCTGGGGCGAGCACAGTTCTTCGATACATATTCACTTAATTTAAAATAAAACTTATATCCGCCTTTTCAAACCAGACGGGGGAAACATTTGAAGGTTCGAGATTCTCCGTTTCTTTAAAAAAAAAAAAAAAAAAAACAATATATAAAAATTTAATAACAGATATTTAGTCCAAACAGTAATGTATTTCTCAAACCTAATAAAAAAAGAAAGAAACAAAAAAAAAAGGAACATGTAAAAATATTTTTGTTCTCCATCGCCTTATAGGAGTCTATAAGAGGTAGCTTTGCGTATAAATCGCAATTCATTGGAGGTGGGGGGGGGGGGGGGTCGACGAGTCTTCCAACCAAATTTAGACTATAAATGTAGCTATACATTTGCTGGAAAATGTATATTTTTAAATAATTTTGAACACTTGAAAATGTCGCTGATATTCCTCTCATTATTGTGCAACACTGATGGTTAAAATGTTCTGGTGATAATTTTTAATAATTCATTCCGTGTTCACGAGTATTTCAAATTGAAGATAGCTGTTTGTGATTGTGAATTCATTTTAGAAAGTGCTCCCAATAAAATAAAAATGTTACTTTTTATTGCGTCGATAATATATTTCCTTATTGTTAACATATTTTATTAAAGTTATGAATTAAAGATCTAAAAAATATCGAATACTAGTATTCTCACTTAATTGTTTTTTAGTATATCTCTTTCTTTTTTTTTCATATTCATGAGTGATTTTTAAATTTACGAATCTATAGAAAGGATTTTACAAGAAATACATTAGTGGAGTGTGTAAGATATTTACACAATCGCTACGAGCGTCCGGTATTTATTAATGATAAATAAAACTTAGACTATGTATTTCATTTTGTTTTGAATATGCTACAGCTGTGCATTATACATTTTTTACACTTCACATTCATCGCGCTGTGCAGCATATCGGCATCATCATGTGAAAAAAAATCTATTAAATGAGCACCCGTAGAGTTTATGTCATTTTGTCAGAGATAATTGGTAAATATACATTTTGATTATAAGGATATTATATTTGTCTTCTTCGTTTGATGATAACACATTCAGAGCTATCCTTTACATCTGATTTTCATATACATGTACATGATTAATAATGTATTTGCATCAAAAAATTAGTCTTTTCTGTTGATCTAAAATATATGTATCTGATTTGTAAATTTTACTTTTTTAAAATAAAATTTTTATACTTTTCTTCTTCGGAATAAAAATATGTCATTAAAACCCCAAAAGTAATTTTGGGACTCTTGTTGAAATACTTAAATTGCTTCAGTATTTTTTTTTTACGGATATTTGATACTTTACACCAATCTTTACTTGTTTATGTATGAAATTAACTACCACGCAAAACATGTTGAGAGGAAAAAATATCCACAGCACTGGTGTGTTAAAAAGGAATACTAGTACTGAAAATAATTGACCAGTAATTTTTCTGCTAATTCCATGATAGATAATTCAACAGCCCAAGAAAGAAAAGACATGATATTAATCTCAAGTATGAATAAATCTTTATGAAGGTATGCAACATTGTTTTATTCTGTTTTACTTAGTCCTCATTAGTCGCTTAGCAGACAAATCAGCAACACACGCACACCTTTACCTAAACTATTTCTTCCAAGGTTCCTAACACAAGTATGCTTAATATTTCATCAGCGCTATTCCTGTCCATTGCTAAGAAGGTTTAATATTAAGGTTTTAGCATTTTCCGCCAGATCTTGCGCACTGCACACACAATTTTAAAGCACAATATTTGTCATCAATATTTCCGAGAAATTAGTTTTCCTATGTAAGTGGATTCGTTGAAAACACAGCCTCCACATTCCCTACGTGTACGCACAGCCGCAAACTGCCTTTCTTTGCGAATTATTTACATCATATTTTTTTACCCATATTACAAGTATAGAATACAATACAAGTAAAGACAGTTCATGAATGTATTCCAGTCTGTTACTAATTGACACTGAGATGCGAAAATCAACTTCATTGATAGCTCTCTGCATGGTGCAAGGGTGATAAGAGGAAGACTTGTTTTTAGTTACATTGTCTGAAATAAGGGTCTAGAAGAAGAAATATTAGTTACTATGGATATAAATTATATAGAACGTACATGTGTAGGTACATTGTAAATTAATTTTATGCGAAATTTTCTACTAAATAACTTAATTCCAGTTTGAGTTTTAAATACTTCTTGAAATCCCATCTGAGTTTTAAAAATATGTACTTATTCAATCACTTCATTATATGTACATGACATATAATTAACCGTTTTTAAGGTATCTGCGCCATAGATGCAGCAATTGTTAGCAACGTGGTACACAAGTGGTATGTGCCGACACGATTTTAAATGAATTACAATGTATAGAGATAAGAACCGCCCCTATCTACTAACAGTTGATTTTCGTACAATGTACATGCATACTCTTTACCTTACTAATTGACTCCTATTATTAGAACTGCAAGTAACGCAGTATTACACTAAAATAGCCGAAAGAGCATCGGGGATTTCCAGTTGCATATTTTTAGAAAACCCAGTGGAGTTATCTAACTTGCTAAGTGGCGCTGGATCGCGAACGGAAGTAGATTTAAGATGACAGAAAGCGCTTTGCGCTGCGCTTAGCGCTTAAAAATTAATGCTTTCGACATCATTTAGAGGTGATATATATGAATTCGTCTAGATTTCAAGGAATCACATCGACATCACATAATTGTTATAACAAGACAAAATGTAAGGGACATCGATGATTTATTCACAGTGTCACGCAATATCACTATTCCTCTGAAGTTAATCATTCCCAATACTTGAAAATGGTTCATTAGGAGCTAAAAATCATTCGCTTGTCTTTAAATTGGTCTATATGCATATTGTCGTAAAATCCAACAAGATAGGCATAGTAGCATAAAAAGACAAAGAAAAGCATTGCATATACTGAAAGAAAAAAAAAACGCATGGTAACATAATATTTGATTGCGTGACCGAAAATTATGAAAACTGGTTATGCGCGGATCTAGAGGGGTGGGGGTGGGGTCCCCCCTGGAATTTGTAGAGTAATCAAAAGTATAAAGTGAAGCAAATAAAAAAAAAAAAGACTTTTGATCCCCTCCCCTTGGAAATGGGGACCCCACCATACCACCACGTAATAGCTAGGTGTTTTTCACGTTTGGAAAACTGATCTTAAGCTTTTTTTACGCTTGTCAAGAAATTTTCTGGGTTTAATACGTTTGGGAACTGAATTTTTTTTTTACTTGTCAAGAAATTTTTTGGGTTGCATATTTTTTTTGACTGGTATGCCCCCCCCCCCTCACGCATAGAAAAACCTCCTGGATCCGCGCCTGCTGGTCGAGGTGTAGTTTGGTAATTTAAATCGGTGTTCAAAATTACTAACCGTAAAATGTATGACGTCACTTAGGGAAAGTGGTATAAAAGCCAAAAACACGGACATATTGATGATGACAAGTTTTTTAACACATTTTGTAGTACCACTGGGGTATAGACATCTTTTTGCATATTTACAGTCAGTATGAATTTCTTGCCATCATGGTACGGCTGACGGAAGTAATTGAATTGCCTAAATGAAGAAAAAGGCAACAACATAATGATGTGCAGTTTGTTATTCAATTTTCTACCATAGAGCATTTTATCAGTTGCATAAAGTAACTGGAAAGGTTTCCAACCAACTGTGACGGTGATGTTGACGCGTAACAATGTCAAATCAAGGAAAGCTTTTCATCTTGCCACCTCTGTAATCGTCAAGGCATTACCACTGAAACCGAAATTAATACAGTAGGTAATTATAAGTGTGACCTTCACCCTAAAACTGAAAAACACCGATTGCTCTATTTTGGTGCGTGAGCTCGTCAACTTTAAAGGTGCTTGGACACAGATTTGAAGTTAATATTTTCTCAAATTTTCTGTATAATTTCATGACTTATATGTTGCTGTAGCATTTCATACTAAAATATAATAAAAATCTTATTTCATCTCGAAGTTATTAAAACTTCGAATTTCTGGACGCGTTGGATTGACACATCTTTGCGCTTTGACATATTTTAATTTTATTCTTAATACTTGAGAAAAGTGGCAATTTTGTTGTGTATAAATGAAAAATAGTAAAACTATAACCCAGAAATTTCAGAGTAGAAATGTTCGAAAGCAAAACCCACTCACAGTATTTTGTAAGTCTGTGCTCAGTGGTGTGTGCAGAATTTAAGAATTGAACACACCTGGTGAATCGTAAACATTAACGATAACAGAGCTCGAGCCCTGTTTACAAAAACAGTTTACGTTTCACGGGTGTGTTCAATTTGTTAAACTCTGTACACATCACATAGCACGGACTGACAATACTGGTGATTTGGTTTTGCTTTTAAACATTTCTACTCTGAATTTTCTGGATTATAGATGTAATATTTTTCATTAATACATAACAAAATCGCTTCTTTTCTTAAATATTAAGGATAAAGTTAAAATTTGTGTAAGTGCAAAGATGTGTTAATCAAACGCGTCCCGGAATTCGTAGTTCCAATAATTTCCAGATAAAATAAGTTTTTAATTATATTTTCGTGTGAAATGCTATTGCAATATATAAGTCGTGATATTATACAGAAAATTTGACAAAATATCAAGTTCAAATCTGTGTCTAAGCACCTTTAAGTCGTTATATATTACTCTCACCCGCTCACGTACACTGTATGCGTATATGCCTAATTTGTTTAGCATGTTCACCCCGTGGGAAAAAGTAGCCAGAGTTTGTCAAAACTTTCTTGCAAACATTCTCATTTACCGAATCGACTGGCGTCCTTAAACTCTATCTTTGTTTCCATCTAAAATCTGTGGGACTAACTGGATGGTATAGGGTTTTGAGGGCTTTGGAATCCTCTAACTAAACTAAGGGTTGCCCTGTCGGAAGGGTTGAATATTATCCCTATTAAAGAAAGATAGATGCACTGATGAACTCCATGCAGAGGAGAATCAAAGCTGTGACAGATGCACGCGGGAGATAATGAGAATTCTATTTTCACTTTTTTTGGGGGTGGGGGGTGGGGGGTGGGGGGTGCGGTACCTTCATATGAACTTCAATAACTCATGAATTATTAGTCAAAATCACAAAGATTTTAGTTCCTTGTTAAGTAAAGATAAGTTTAAAAGAATGATAACAATATTGAAAATGCTTCGTAAAAAGCTCAAATCTACTTAAAAGTTTACTATGCGTCTCTTTTTCCTTTCAGCATAGAAAAAAAGCATGCAATGATAAATACAAGGTAACAAGTAATTTGTGTGAAAATCTGAAGACTTATGATGTTGTATTTCTTGCATATCATTCTTGTTATGCGTACACATTTTGTTCTGATAACATCAATAATGTCTCAAAGAAGGTAAAGTAAGGATCGATCTAAGAGAGGTTTAGTAATACTATACAGGTAGCACCTACATGTATTTGACGTAAACGATATAGATTCAGATACATCGCTTATCATAAGTGTGATCTTAAGATTAATTTTAGAAGCTGAGAGACGAAGAGCTGGCTTCTTCGATTTGTACATACCTCGTCTGAGAGGTCCGGACTTTAAGTACTGTAATCCATGAATTGCATGCCACGTTTCTTGCAAAAGGAAACTAGAAATCGAAATCGTTATAAATCAAGAGAACAAATTTACATATTTTAGATATTGGCCGACGGAAAAAATGTGTCATTTTAGTACTCTTCAGATCGAAAATTTAAACAGAAAGTATTTAATGTATTTAGCTTTGTTTGTTGTTAAATGACCTTTATAATTCATTTCTCGAGGGGAAAACACAACATATGTAATGATGATGATTTGCATATTTTGAATTTGAAGCGCCATTTGTATTGCCTTAAGTTTGAAAACAATGTACTTGTTTTTATTCTTAAAAGATTATTCCTGATAATATCAGATCCAGGTGTAGGAACAGCAAAGATTTAAATTTTAGTTTTTCACGTATGTATACATGTAAACCCTAGAGAATAAATAATGTGTTATCAAAGAAATTACAGAGGATGGTCTGTGTTATGCTCATAAATTTTACAAAATTTCTCAAATAAAACAGTTATAATTTCTTGTAAAATCCTTAAAATGTGGTACGGTAAATTTTGGTGGACTTACAGTGCTTTGCGTGAGTAAAATTATTTCATTAATTAATTAATTGATATACTTTTAAAAATTGCCAATGATTAAAGTTCACTTTATTTTGATTTAAAAAAATGAATTTAAAAATTAATAAGAAATTTAATTTTAAAATTGAATAAGTCATTTTCAAACAACACATACGTATTTTAGCAGCTTAAATAGATGTTTTTTTTTTTTTTTTTTTTTTTTTTTTCAAAATGTCTTTGTCAGATGTCTTTTGAGCTGTTTAATTTATGGGGGATAAAGTTCGAGAATTACAAGTGTATTAAAGAAACTGATCTTTTGAAATAGGTCTTATATTCCCGGATGTATGTTATAAAAACGACAAAATAGGATGTTACAATAAAGAAGAACCATTTGCACACTTTGATATCCTGCCGAATTCCCCTGGAAAACATGGTATGAATGTCAATTTCAAACTGTACAGACGGTTTGATAACGAAGTACCAGAACTGCTGAACGGCATACTTTTGGATGAGAAAAGGACTTCCACTCATTATGATCCTGGAAAGAAAATAGTTTTCCTTATTCATGGGTTTAACGACAATGGAGAAAATGCATGGATTTTAAAGATGAAGGAGAACATCTTGCAAAAGGTTAGAATTCACATGATACTTTTGTATACATGACTGCAGACTTGAACACCAAAGCTAGGATCAATTTTTCTGACAAATATCTTTGTTTGTACTACTAATTGTACGAATTCGAGTGCAGTCTTTCTGTTTAATGAACCAATTCATTTTGAAATTTATTATATAGGCATCAAAGCGCATGTTTTTAAAGATAAATCTAATAATATTAACAATACAGTTTTTATATTTGCCTGTAAGTGAGGGATAGTTAAAGTAAAATACAAATGAATTTCCATTAAAATAAAACAAAGGTTAACACCAAAGAGTAAAAAAGTAAGAGTATGGTCAATGCATTTAGAAATGGGTAAATTTGTTTAGTATTCATTTGTGAAAAAAATGAATTTCTGCAAACACAAAAAATGTTTAAGAACTGCATTTCCATATGAATGCAAAGACTACATCAATAATGTAGGAAATCTTTCAAGCCCGCAGTGTACCAATGTGAATATGATTATTTTTTTAATAGAACACCAAGACGTAAGCGCAATCATGGACATCGTTCATTCAATAAGCCATATATACATGATGTTTCATTTGATTCGCTATAATTCCTTTTCGTCAATAAGCAATTAGGTCTACATCACAGTAGGTCTACATCACACTAAACCTCGCACTAACCTTTCCTCTGTGCCCTTGAAACTGTTGGAGAGAGAGAGAGAGAGAGAGAGAGAGAGAGAGAGAGAGAGAGAGAATGAGTGTGTGTGTGTTGGCATTTTAACATATTTCGATTCCATCTAATAACATATTTCAATAAAACAATTTATTCCATTTGAAACTTAAAAGACATATCCTTCCGTTTTCAGTAGACCAAAAGTAATTAAAGAACTGGAAAGACTACATAAAAATATGTTTTGGTTCCAGCTGACAAAGCTTGTACATGTAACCTATATACTTTGTTGTAAGATTTTCATTATTTCAACTGCATTTTAGAAGACCTCGGTATTAATTCTACATCTGGTAATCCAACGAATTCTAAGATTTCCCTTTCAAAAGATAAAATTCCTCAAATTTACCTGTCTGTTTTATGCTTTTAAAATTCTAATCAATGGAAGTGAATGTGATTTACTGTAACTATACTGGATTCCAAAATTCCACACAAAATCCTTACAAACCAAGACACATTGCAGGGTCCAGTAAATTTTCATCCAAACTTTATCCTCACTCCTCATCAAAACATTTACTGATGTAAAGGAAAAACATCAGACTATTGTACAACTACATATTCAAGAAGTGGTGTAAATCAAATTTGGATTCTTAAAATAAAACTCCCCAGTACTTTTGGAAAATTCAAAATCTCAAAACTTTTCAAACACCAAATGAATCATAACATATGTTTTATATATATATATATATATATATATATATATATATATATATATATATATATATATATATATATATATATATATATATATATATATTTTTATATATATATATATATATATAATTTAAGGATGTCAATTTTGTCCATAATTCATATTCGAATACTCAATGAAAGTATTCGAATATATTCGAATATTCGATAAAATAAATAGATTCTGGTTTATTTTACATGTAAATATGCATATCCTACTCTCATGAAAAGTTTAAAGTAGGTAATCTTATATTGGAAGTAAAAATGTATGAAGAGTTTTGTAGTTGTACAATAAGGAATTCCATTTGATATTTGTCAATGTTTGAAATAAATAACTGATTTAAATGTAGAAAAGTATAATTTTAGCAAATGATACATGTGTATTTATAGTAGTTCCAACTGAGGAACCAGTCATCTTACCAAAGGCAGGATAGTCGTATACTGTTTAGATTTCAATACGTGTAATTCATTATAATTATCAGCCTAGTAAGAGATATGATTATAATCTTTGACACAATGTTTTTAGAATATAAACAAATTTTCCATAGACAATTTTCCTAGGTAATTAACTAATTTCCCGATAATGAATATAAAATTCAGGATTAAGTACAACCCGAGAGAATCAAGTAATTTAAACATTTATTTCTGAAATTGAGCCCTTTACAATATTAATTACAAACATTCATTCAATGATCAATTAAATTTGTTTTGATAAGTATACTCTTCAGGTCTTTTAGACATTCTAAGAAGGTTTTAATTTTGTTGTCCTTGATTCTAGATCCGATCGTATTTAACTAAAATTAAAAAAAAAAAAAACTATGAAAGTACGTTTTGTATTATACATAAAACATTATTTTATAATTTTTTAAACCTTACTCAAAACAAAATAATGTAGTAGATCTATAAGATAAGAAAGTATAGATCGAAATTGATCGCTAGTAAATGAAACAGGAAGAAGTCCAGCAGCGTTCTAATAAAAAATTATTAATCACAGTACTTCTTTTTATGAAATCTGAAAAACACCGAATATTCGAATCTTAAATTCATATTCGAATATCAACTCATCGAATGAATATTCGAATGTTCGAATATTCGTTGACATCCCTAATATATATATATATATATATATATATATATATATATATATATATATATATATATATATATATATATATATATATATATATATATATATATATATATAAAATTTTCTATGCTTTATACGACCATTCTTCATTCTTCAAGACAAAATAAAGAACAGGAATTTGACATCATAAACAACTGCTTCCTCAATATAAATGGGCCTCGCAAATTTTCACATTTTGATTTGGTTATCTTGAAAATTATTTTGTTAAAAATCATTCTGATTCCACATGCAAGTACTCTAAAGTTTATATTACAAAAGATGCTCCTATGAGTTCCTCATAGGAAATAACTTTCGTATCTTTCGAGACCAGGTCTTCCAATAATTTGAAATTCTGATGGTTGTTAATTATTCCCTTTTATCAACCGACCTGTTTTTATATTCTTAGGAAGCAAAATTTACTCAAAAATTTCAAAAATTTTTAGGTCGTTATAACGACATTGTTTGTAAATACAACTTATCCTTGGGTCGTATCTTGTCTGACATGTTTGATGTAATTTGTTTAACCATTGCTTTTATACTAAATTTGACTACTGAGGACTCCGTATAAACCTGATCAATACATAGGGTTCACACGGCGGGGTTGGACAGCTTACTCTTCCTAGGCACCTGGTCCCACCTGTGGTGTTTCCAGGGCTCCATTATTTGGCCTTGTTCACGATATGTTTTGTTTACTGGATTTATAAAATTGACCACTGTTCCTTATCTTCAAATTTTAGATTATATAAAGACTAATTATAGAACTTAAACGGGACACAGAAGAAAACGTCACTGTAGCGCGAAGACCCTTTTATTTCTAGTGCAAGATAATAGAACACGTCCCACAATAATGCTGTTTGTTTAAAATTATATTTTTCTTCTCACAAAGGAGGACATCAATGTTGTGATTGTTGACTGGGGTAAAGGAGCAAAACATTTGAATTATATGATTGCTGCCTCAAATACAAGAACTGTAGGAGCCTACTTAGGTCGCCTGATATCCACTATGGTACCTGATCTATCAATGGTTCACATCATAGGACACAGTTTAGGAGCACAGATAGCAGGATTTGCTGGAGCCTGGACAAGAGGAAAGATAGGACATATTACAGGTTAAGAAATTCTTGTCTGCCCAAGTAAGCAATTTGATTTTCATATTCAAAGCTTGTTTGGTAATTATGAAAGTGTTTTCCCCTCCCCAAATCAATCTTTCTGCATTTTCGTTCCTTCAAACTAACAAAAATATGCATTAGCTTTATATTTCATCTCTGGTCCTGCTGCAGTATTTCTAGTGGTTTAGTAACTTTATTGGAGATATTTAAATCTAGTATCCATGTATTTATCATGAAATAATTCAAATAAATGAAATTTGTTTTGGCTATACTCTGTGATTTATACAAGTAATGTAACATTGACAATTCCAATGAATAATTACTGACGAAATATATCGTCTGAATATCTTAATTATTTGAGATTTGCTTTGACACTAGTACTAGCCACGTTATCTGGCTAAATAGAAGGTCTGGTTTGTGCAAAATATGAACAAATATTGGAGAGATTATTTAAAAATGCTATCTGTCATAACATATGAAAGAAAAATAGCTTTTTCATGTGCAGGAAAATAACTCTTTTTTCAGTTTGTATTGCTTTTTTCTATTAAATAACACCACGAAACCACCTTTATTAACATAAACTTGAAAGAAAAATCCTTATTGATTTTTCCAACCTTTTTGTTTCAAATAAATTCATCATCAATCAAGGCTAGTGAAACATATATTCCCTTTAAGCTTTTATAAGCATATGGTTTTCTATAGGACTTGACCCAGCAGGACCCCTGTTTGATAAATACCATCCCAAGGCTAGACTTGACGCCAATGACGCTAGTTTCGTGGACGTCATTCACACCGATACAGGGGGAGCGTTCAATTTAGGTAGGTGTTGAATGGAAAGCTTTGCCATTTCACCGTATGATATTTTGTTGTATTCTAGCGGCTTTTGAGGGTGGCAATTATTATTTGTTTTATTCAGACTTGGAATCAATAACGACCGTGTATTAGGAGTCACAACCGGTCATGATTATAGATAGACATATTCTTTGATTTATTTTTCTGATACAAATTACAGCGATTGCGTGTTATCGAGGTATGGAGAATAGAGTTTATCGTTTGTTTTTTCCAATCAGGCAACTGTCAGCTTTATGAGTTACTTATCAATAGCGTTTGTTTGCTCCTTTGGAAAAGTCAGACATTGCCCTGGAGGAATGATCTTAAGTCGAGAACACAAGGAGTATAAAATAAATATGTCTGTAACTCTAAAAACAAACCCATTGATTTTGACACTGATTTAAACATAACACAAATTTTGTATATAATTTTTGTTTGGAAAAAAATAAACGTACACTAGTTACTGACTGAATACATGCAACGGATACAGTATTCTTTAAGGCATTTTCAAATTTATAAAATGAATTCTCTCATAAAGTTTTCTAGAACATTTTTCGATTTTGAATACAATATTTAAAGTTTTGATACACAGGTCTTGGGATGAATAACCACTGTGGGGACATTGACTTTTTCCCAAATGGTGGAGAGGTGCAACCCGGATGTAACCAGTCCGCTCTGAGGATCGCTGACACCTTAATCAAGTTTAGAGTTGAAGGTATGTAGTCGCCACCTATTGGAATAATATAAAATCTTTTTACGATATTTTAACGTCAGTTGGTGACTAAAACTGTACCTATTAACTATTTATTTGATTTATTTTTGGCATTTGATTAACGAAATTATACCTCCTTCGGAAAAGAAGTCAACACTGAAAACTAATTCAACCAAAAAGTGGCGATTTTGAAGTTTCATAATACTGTACGTGTACATAAGTTGGCGTATTCAACATTTAGCGCAATCACTAGGTATGGAGTTGTTTGAGAAATCATGAATTAGTGCTATACATGTCCTTGCCGTACATTGTATTTATAAATGATTTCTTAGCGGTATTCATGAATTAGCGCATCGTTGTCTGCGCCAAAGCCGCTAAAATATGAAGCCCGTTTTTAGCTCACCTGAGCTGAAAGCTCAAGTGAGCTTTTCTGATCACCCGTTGTCCGTCGTCCGTCCGTCCGTCCGTCCGTCCGTCTGTCTGTCCGTCCGTCCGTCTGTAAACTTTTCACATTTTCAACTTCTTCTCAAGAACCACTGGGCCAATTTTAACCAAACTTGGTACAAAGCATCCTTGGGTGAAGGGGAGTTTAAATTGTTAAAATAAAGGGCCAAGCCCCCTTCCAAGGGGAGATAATCAAGAAAAGACAAAAATAGGGTTGGGTCATTAAAAAATCTTCTTCTCAAGAACCACTTGGCCAGAAAAACTGAAACTTATGTGAAAGCATCCTGGGGTAGTGTAGATTCTAAATTGTTAAAATCATGACCCCCGGGGGTAGGGCGGGGCCACAATAGGGAATCCAAGTTTTACATTGAAAAATGTAGAAAAAATCTTTAAAAATCTTGTTCTCAAGAACCACTGGGCCAGAAAAGCTGAAACTTATGTGGAAGCATCCTGGGGTAGTGTAGATTCTAAATTGTTAAAAGCATGACCCCCGGGGGTAGGGCGGGGCCACAATAGGGAATCCAAGTTTTACATTGAAAAATGTAGAAAAAATCTTTAAAAATCTTCTTCTCAAGAACCACTGGGCCAGAAAAGCTGAAACTTATGTGGAAGCATCCTGGGGTAGTGTAGATTCTAAATTGTTAAAATCATGACCCCCGGGGGTAGGGCGGGGCCACAATAGGGAATCCAAGTTTTACATTGAAAAATGTAGAAAAAAATCTTTAAAAATCTTCTTCTCAAGAACCACTGGGCCAGAAAAGCTGAAACTTATGTGGAAGCATCCTGGGGTAGTGTAGATTCTAAATTGTAAAAACCATGACCCCCAGGGGTAGGGCGGGGCCACAATAGGGAATCCAAGTTTTACATTGAAATATGTAGAAAATATCTTTAAAAATCTTCTTCTCAAGAACCACTGGGCCAGAAAAGCTGAAACTTATGTGGAAGCATCCTTGGGTAGTGTAGATTCTAAATTGTTCAAATCATGACCCCTGGGGTAGGGCGGGGCCACAATAGGGAATCCAAGTTTTACATTGAAATATGTAGAAAAAATCTTTAAAAATCTTGTTCTCAAGAACCACTGGGCCAGAAAAGCTGAAACTTATGTGGAAGCATCCTGGGGTAGTGTAGATTCTAAATTAATAAAACCATGACCCCCAGGGGTAGGGCGGGGCCACAATAGGGAATCCAAGTTTTACATTGAAATATGTAGAAAATATCTTTAAAAATCTTCTTCTCAAGAACCACTGGGCCAGAAAAGCTGAAACTTATGTGGAAGCATCCTGGGGTAGTGTAGATTCTAAATTGTTCAAATCATGACCCCTGGGGTAGGGCGGGGCCACAATAGGTATCACAAGGGGGAAATCGGGTGAAAAACAGCAAGGCCAAAGTTACTCAGGTGAGCGTTGTGGCCCATGGGCCTCTTGTTTAAGTACACATACGGTTCAATTTTGAATAAATTGGAAAATTTTCATTTAAAAGCCTTGACAAATGTACTCTGAGTGTAACAATACCTTAAAGAATAATGATTTTATTAGTAGTTATTTATCCAGATCCTATTAAAAACATGTGGTATACTATATCTAAATGTGTAGAATATACGAATCAACAAATTAAGCATGGAAAGCCAAAAGTCTATTGCTCTCTGTTTTTTTTCCAGATGCACAAAGACTTTTTCCCTGCAGTCATGAGCGTTCCATTCAACTCTACATAGAATCCATTTTATCTGAATGCAAATTTTTATTGTGTTCCTGCACAAAGGACGCTTTCTTTAATGAACTTTGTACCCAAGATAATTGTACTCACATGGGATATGATGTTGATCAAAGGTTTCGCGGAGAGTTTTACGGATACACCCAAGCGCATGCGCCTTACTGTATCACTGAAAAAACGTTGATATCTTCTTCAGAAGATCAAGGAAGGCTATTCAATACAACAGCAACACCAACTGAATTAGAAATTCTGGAGGCCCTGGTCAATACAACGCAGTCCCTTAATGGAAATGTGACAGAAAACACACTAACTGAACAAAGCGGAACGATTCAAAGTAATTTGACCATTGTAGATGAATGATTGGTGGAATTTTATTGATAATTGAACCATTATCCTAAAAGTAATTTATAATGATGCATCTTATCAATGTCGTTTTTTGAAAATTGTCTTTCTTTGTATACAGTAATGAAAGTATGATACACGTTGATATTAAAGTGATATGATCGGTCACTTTGTGTATATTCGAGAATAAAACTGTATTTTCTTCTTGGTCAAAGTTATGATGATTTTGTTTTAAAACAAATTTTCAAATCCTCAGATCACATGCAAAATGAGAAAATAAGTTAATCAAAATATAGGCTGGAGAACTCAATAGTTCTTGCCATAAATGGGGTCAAAATAAAATGTACCACTATTACAGAAAAAAATCTATTTGAATGGAATACAGAATCGTTTTCATGAGGCACAAAATCGTAGTTGTTAAGTTTCGTATATCTCTCTGAATGGTGTCAAGTGTAGTTATTTGAGTTTTTTAATTATTATTATTAATAGAATCAGTTAACTGACATGATCGTATGATGATGATGATGATGATGATGATATATATATATATATATATATATATATATATATATATATATATATATATATATATATATATATATATATTTCATTGCTTATTCTTTAAAAAGTGTACAGAAGAGATTTTTAAACAAAATATTTATCAAACTGTAATAATGATTTTATGAGAAAGTTTGTACATGCTAGACGTCATAACTTTTTCATTTCATATGATGAATACCAGCATTTAGTAAATCGAAGGAACCCCGAGACCACTCGCATCCAAAGCGAGAATCATACCCCTAGACCAACGAGGCGCTTGACTTTGAAACAAACCAAATGCAAACAGCAGGTCACAATTACATGTATATATTCACATTCGATATTGTCAAAATTTTACACAACACATATTGTTTAATTTAGCCTTTACTAAACAGATATAATATATGTAATTAGAATATAAAGTCCGCCGACAACCTGTAATAACTCTCCACATGCTCCTGTGCTAAAAATAGTACCACGCGACTTTATATACAATCGTAGTAACTCTAAAATTTTGAGCGTAATCAATGCCAACAAATTTCCAATTGACTTTTTAAAAAATTGAACAAAATTTAAAAAAAAACGGGGCGGAAATTTGAGAGGAGCGGGCGGGACCATAGGGAGTTATGGTATAAAATTTCATTGCAAAAGCTCAGAAACGTCTTGAGATATCACCTGGAAACGAAAGTGTTACACACAGAATGTATGGATTTACGATCTTGGCCTTTGATCTTTTGACCTCAAAACGAATAGGGGCCTTTTTTAAGCCACAGGGAGTTGATACGTAAAATTTCATTGCAAAAGCTCAAAGGCTTCTCGAGATATCGTGCGGAAACGAAATTGTAAAAACAGACAGAATTTATGACCTTGACCTTTGATGTTTTGACCTCAAAATCAATAGGGGTCTTCTTTAGGTCATAGAGAGTTGTTACGTAAAATTTTATTGCGAAGGTGTCCCGAGATATTGCGGAGAAACAAAAGTGTTACAAACAGACAGAAATACAGAGAGACGAACAGACAGACAGACAGACCCAAATTAATATCTCCCACTTTCATTGAAAGAGGAACCGATATTAACCATTTTCATATCTAAAAAATTGTTTCAGACAACGTACTTCTATCGTTTTTTATGATCTCCCGCGGACATGCACGTGGAGGTTGTTCACCGATTTCCTTAATTAATATTCATAAAACGGCAGCAAATTCCTATATGCTGACATTGCTTTCTTAATTATTACAACGAATAAATAATGAAGATCTTTTAAAACTTGTTATTTTTTTTTATTACAAAACATACATCTCAAATCATTAAATTTTTTTCCACATAAAATTGGTTTTAACATTGCTTTGTATAGCTTTTAAAATTCTCTTATTCTAATGTACATTTATGCTATTTAATCAAATATCCATTTTCTCTCTCTCGCAACATTCATAACTTACAATATTTCAAAAATATACAGAATTCTCTATACAGTCAAAAGAGTAAACTTAACATATATCTACTTCACTTGGGGAAGTTAAAGTTTAAGTCTTCACCCTTCTTCTCAATCCACTTTGGCATATAGGAAGTCAGTGATTTTCCCCCTACAAATCGGGCACGTTATTATCGCTGGAGCACAGTCAGAACAACATACAAAGTGTCCACACGGTAGTAACACACAGGACACATAGGCGTCCAGACAAACCTTACACAGGGTCAGTTCTTGTAAGGTTCTTTTCTCTTCTAATAAATCTGAAGATAAAGTTCATTCAGTTTTCAGTAATTTACTATATTCATCAGACGTATTTGTGCGGGTTTGACCAAAGGATTAAATTTATTGTGTTATTGTACATTTGAACAAAAAAAACCTTGTCCGTTCGCTTCTATGGGTGACACATTTAGGCAATATTTGACCTTGTAAACAAGATGTCGCATATTGTAAAACCGAAACTAAACAACAAAATCGAATATCTATTTTACAAAATATTATGTTTAAGTATCTAATTTAAATTACCTTCTTTAACTAGTATATCCATTTTACTTGTGAAAATACAGAATTAATGTAGAAATACGGGAATCTTGTACTTGAAAGGGGATTTTTAATGGAAAATCCAGCAAGTTTAAATAACGACACATCATTTTATGCGCCGACGTGTTTATATTTATATATTGGAATTTGTGAATTGATGAGCGTGTAAAGCTACAGGTTTGGAAAAATAATTTATGCTTTTTTGTTTGATTGTTTGTTTTTATCTTCGTGTTATATCTTATAATATAGATGCTTTTGATCAAACTTATAGGTGTAGTTGTTTTATTCTTCCTTTTTTTAATAATTGCGCAATTTACGTGCAGATCACACGTGACTTCTAAGATCCATTCAGGCATAGTTATTAATCATCGTCCAACAGAATTCTCAATTCATACTCAGCATAAAAGTGGTGAGGGACAAAAAAATTCTTTTAGTCGTGCATTGTTTATGGTCACTATAAAATGTTCAATATACATGTATTTAATAGCTAAACTTAAGTTCTAGAAAGTTTTGTTTTCAAATATGATTTGTTCAGACGATTTATGAAATGAGCTTAAGCATTTTATCAGGTCACCTGATTCACATAGGTGGCCTATTTCTATCTGTTTTCTGTTTGTTTTTGTTTTTTATTTTAGTGTATTTATTAGCAACATTTCACTTTGTTTATTTAGGCATTCTACTTGAACTAATAGAAGAGAATGGCTGGCCTTTTGAAAAGTGATGCTGCACAAGAGGTTTTCCAAGAGGGGTTCAAACCACGTATCATAGCAAGAGCAGCTGAGAGGATCCTTCGAAAGACTGGTTAGTAAAATTACATTCTCAGAGTGAAGGACGGGAATAATTTTCTACTACAGGATAGTCCTTTATTCCTTTATATATTCCTATATTTTTATGCCTCAGAGATTGAAGATCTACCGGGAGGGGTGCTGTGATATTGTGCATGGTCCTACTGTCGTTTTTTTTTTTGAACTAGATACATATAAATTAAAATTACATGTACAAGGATACTGAAAGAGTATACACTATTTGTCATTTAAAAATGTATACATGTACACTTTAAATGGAACAGCTTATACACATGACAATACTTGCGGATGTTTCTTGAATATTTTACAAGGTGATTATAGAGATTAACATTGCAAGTAAGTCACTCGCGAAGGGATTGCATGTTTTTCAAACTACGCTGATTTTTTGATATTTTATTTTAAGTATTTTTGATTTGATATTAAAAGAGGTTTTTTTTATCGGAGGTTGCCTGCCTTTTCGAGTCATCAAATCATAATGATTTTCTGTTTTGCATTTTATTAATTACATGTACTTGCGTCACAGTTCCTTTTTTCGTAAAACCTACCCCTTTCTTCTTTTTCCCCTTCGTAAATGACGTCACAAACGGCATAGATTTATCTTGTTGTGAACTGCAGATTTACTTTTTAACATTCTAGTCCAGAAAATGTTCGATCCCTTATTAAAAATTTTTTTAACGCCTTTCATGAATAAATTATCTTAACTTTGTGTTGTAAAATGTTATTGCATTTAAGGAATCACATTGTTCTATTTAATTAAAAGATATTGGTTCATACAAAAATCACTGATTGACTTATAAGTCTGGTACTAAATTTGTAAAATGACACCAACATTCCTATGCAACCTGGGTATTGGAAACTACCTAATGACCATAAAAAGTTGCACCTGTAGAATCTTTATACGTTTCCAGTGCAGCCCCCCCCCCCCCCCATGCGAGGAACTGTTTAATTATTGCCACGAAAAATATAGGTAAATTATTTAAAAAAGTTAAAATTTTAAATAAATGTCATTGAAATACGACCTCTTATTCATGCGTACTTTTGTAAGCTATGACAACACGCGGAAAGAAATGATCAACACTCTACAATTCTCGTTTTGTTTTCTTTATTTGCATCATATAATATAAAATAATTCAAACTGACTTTATTACATATGTTTGCGCTATGTTATGAATATTGATGAGCTAGCAACCAATGAGAATTTTTATTTGAGAGCGTCAAATGTAGCGTCGAGAATGTCACACCTTACTGAAGGTGCAACACATACCGTAGATAAAACTCCATTGATAGTGGTAACTTTAATTATTTCAAATTATTAAAATAACGGTTTCACCTTAACCTTTATTCTGTACCTATATGAAATATTTTCATGTTTACAGTAAGATAGGGGTACTATTGTTTGAATACTCCTACGTTCCTATTTAAATCACCAGTGTTTCCAGACTTACTGTAATTCGAATGATTATGCAACGTAAATATTTCCATTTAGGTGACGAGGACTTATCCAAAGACGATATTCTTAAAGAAATAGAAAAAATGATCAAAAATGGAGAGATCAAAGAAGATTCGTGTAAAATTCCCCCATTATGTCAAATTGACGATATCCTGAACAAGAATTCAACTTCAGGTATTTCATTTTCATAATTTTATTTTGTTATTTCAAGTCTTTTCTGAACGGATGGTTTTTAATTTCTGAATACAAGAATAAAAATAGAATTAAACGTACATGTACATGCGCCATACAGAAGATGCTTTGAAAGCTTCGTTTTTTCATAAATAAAGACCCACAGAAACTACAGGAAGAGGTTTCCCAGTCAAAACGGCGCCTGTATTGTTGTGTGTGCAACGACAGGAAATCTGAGTACATCTTTAAAGGATGTGGGCATCTTGTCTGCCAGATTTGCTGCCCAAGAAGATATGGCCTCTGTCGAGTGTGTGGTCACCAGATTGTAGAGTGCTACAGTATCAAGTTTACAAAGATTTCAGACTTAAAAAATGATGAGTAAGTGATAGATGTGATTGAATTTACAAATCTTATAGCATTTGGTTAGCTGACCACAGTTTTCTGTGGATTTGTTAAATTGATGTAGATGAAATGAAGGAGGAATGTACAAATGCAAAATAACGCAGTTTAGAAAATTACCGTATAGCGGAGTTCTTTAGCTGGTATAAAATTTGAGGTTTGCTTGCTTAAAGATATGCCAAAAATATTGGCAGTCATATACTGTATTCAATGAAGCTGGAAACGTGTAACATAATTTGGTGCCGATTAAAATTTTAGCGCGCTTCTACCAACCCACTAAATTAAGCCAAAGTGAGCATGCCCGCTGAAAAATCCCGCTATATGGTAAATAATTTCCTTTACACGGTCATTACAAGTGATATTGTAGGTTATGTTATTTTTATATACAATTTTACGACTGTTTTTCAGATTTTATTTTTACATATTTTTAAATGTTTACAACTGTTATTTTTTATATAAGTGTTCATTATTGTTGAGGTACTCTAAACGCAACAGTTGTCACTTATTTTATGAGGATCCATTTAAAGACAACTTGAACAATTTTCGCTGAAATATGAAAAAATCCTATTCAAGGATGTTGGATGCAACTTCAGAGTAAATATACCCCTATTAAACCTGTATTTTTCACAGATGAAATATTTGCATACCAACCATTGATTCTATCCCCTCAAATCAGCATTCCCTACGAGGTCTTAAAACTACAGCTTCAAAGCTGACACATTTTTTAGCTCTACTGACCAGGACCAGAAGAGCTTATGCGAAAATACAAATCTCAACAAATTAATGATTACAATACATGGTATATGTGTATATTATGTGTAAACATTCTAAAAATATGTACACGCTAAAGAATTTTTCAAGCTATGGAAATCCTAAATGTGTAGATAGATCTTCAGTTGTCCAATAAATAAATATTTCTGAAAGCTATTAAATCGAGACAATGCGTCAGATGCTTAACTTTTCTGTAATCAGGGGCTAAATATTATTATTTTACCTTTAAAAATTGTTTCCTACATGTATATAAATCTGTGCTTAAAAAGTTAACATTTCCAATATTTTACTGAGCGGTTCAACAAAAAACCGCTAATTGCGATACTGGGCCTGTTGATGAGATATTGGACCGCTATGACTTTATTTACGTCACACTGTAAGCGGGGACAATTATATCTTATCAATTATCGCAAACATGGAAACCAGCACAAGATATGTCCAAATAAAAAGTAAAAGGTATACATGTACATGTAACACAACATTTATCGACAATGTTCTCTGACAAAATACATTCGACTCTCGAACCAAACACTTTGCGTTTGGCTTGACGGCCTCAGGTAAACAGTTTGGTTCTTTGGTCCAACAAAACGCATTTTGCCCTTGAACCCAGTCAATAAATGCACATTGCTTATCTTCAATTACATGAATATTAGTAACTGCATGATGCTATAAAGATTTGTAATACGTCTTTCAAAAAATAGACTGACAATATTTTTTCAAGATTTTTAAGTATTTCCATCATAGATTTGGAAGAAGGAGAAAAAAATCTCACTGAGATTATTTTTCAGATTTATAAGGAAAAAATTGTATTATGGCGAAAAAATATATTGAGAATCGTCTCAAGATTTATGTTTGTATTAAAGCAAAACTTGCAACGAGAAGTTTTTCAATGTCTATGAGTATTTGAAATCTTAGAATTGTATTACTGGAAACAAATTGTACAGAGGATCTTTTTTAGCTTTGTAAGTTTCCAAAATAACAGATCTGTGCTGTGGTTAAAAAATGTATTGAGAATCTTTTAAAGAACTGGGTTATAAGAACTTGAAATGTATACATTGTATATCTAGCACTTGTGTTGATGCTCTAAAAATAAGAGTAAACTTTGTGTTTATTGTGCCATCAATAAAAACTTTTTTGAAGTTTTTTTTCTATTTTGTTTCATTGCCATTTTAAATGAATGAAAGAATTAGGTTGTCACCGAAAATAACTAATGGAATTTTAAACAACTTTTGCATTCAGTCACTGGGATTTCTTCATTTTTCGTTTACATACATTTTCATTGTTTTCATGGTTGGTCAGCGAACTACAACGTTAATCAATGAGAGAATGGGAAAGAAAGCATATCAACAAATTCATTTAAAACAAAAAATGCTCTGTTTGTTTGTTATAATGCAAAGATAACGACTGAGACATTGGGGGGAAAAATACATAACCCACGTAAGCAGGTTATGTTAAATTTTTTTCTGCAATGATTGCAGTGATCGTTTAACACCGCTTAAGAAACATCTAAAGACGTTATACATTGTTTATATCTATATCTGTATAAATTCTTTCTGTAAAGTGGTTGAAAGTACTTAAAATATTATATCATTGATCCGTAGGTTACATTGATAAAAGAGTACACTTCTTGAGAAATCTATGAAACTTTGGCTTTTAAAAAAATGGTTGCTAATGAATTGATAACAGCAATTGGTTTTCATAAAGAAATATAAGGAAAAAAAATTCAGTGGATGTAATCATAGGAGGGTTGTTCGGAAACTTCGCGGACTTCTTTCATAACTTTTTTACTTAACGTCATATTATATCCAAATTAGGGTAGAAATGTTTAAATAATGCGAATCAAAAATTTTAAAATATCGTGATTTATTCCAAACGTATCCAGAATTTAAATCTGCAAAAATCAGATCGCGGAGCCGGTCAAGGTTTAGTAATTTACAAACAATACACTAAATAATGTCTGTAGTCATATTCTCTGCAAAAAGGAGCAAAAACGAAAAAAAATTCCTAGACTTTTTAGTTAAGAACTGTTACATCGATTCATATTCCAAATTATACCTTAATACTTTGCTTCGTTTAAAAGATATAAGTAGTCCTCATTGAAAAGGACAAAAATATGATGTTGTAGAACGTCACAGAGCAGCAGTTAACAATTCAGTTCTGTGTTATGCCAGAGAAAAAACTCTTGAATAAACTCTGAAAATGCTGGAGGAAGCAGGAAATATGTCAAAAGCGAGTGTGTAAATGACACAGGCTTTATTTGAGTGATAGAGACTCTGTATTGGACGGGGACGATCTGTGAAGAAACGGGTTAATTGTTAAAATCTGAATAAAATTTCAAAAAGTTGGAACGTCATGGAAAGACATAGGCGCTTCACAGTTGCTGATTTTGTAAAATGAAATATCCCTTACAAAAATTTACTATAGTTAACTATAGTTTACTATAGTGAAAACTTTGATACTTTGATTTACTATGAAACTTTTTTTTAGTTTTCAAATATTAAAATCTCTAAAATTCGATAATAGTAATGTAAAATTTGGAAATAATGTGTGAATATACAAAAAATGTTTCAATTTAATATAAAAAATGTGCATGTATGAAATGAAGAACAAAAAATATAACGATCTGAAATCCGAAGTAAAAAATACTTTGATTTACTATAGTGAAAAAACTTTGATACTATAGTTAACTATAGTAAACTATAGTTAACTATAATTAACTATAGTACTTTTTTGTTAGGGATGGAGAAAGCATAGTTAAGCGGTGAAAGAAATTTAAACATTGACAAACGAAATTATGCAACTGAAACAATTGTTGGAAAAATAAATTTCAAGTGATAGAAAAAAGTTTTTAAAATGTGTGGGCATTGGGCTATACTGTGTGAGATGTATACTAGGGAGAGTATTTTGAGAAATTTTGACGCTATGTTTTTTTTTACGTTACATTGTTGTTAAGTAGGCTCCGTGGTTTCAAACATGTTGATTTAAAAATTAATTAACATTTCTATCAAATCACATGGAATGAAACGTCACACATCAACAAAATAAATATTTTTACATATGATTATGTGTCCATTTTAAATTTCTTAAAAAAAAAATAAGGAAGATTGACATGGTCCGAGAACTTTCCGAACAATCCTCGTTTGTTTTTTAGCTCTTCAAAGTTTCTTTTATTTATAGATTTCGGATTTCCGACGTTTTGGCATGAGCATCATTGAAGAGACTTTGTCGAAATGCGTATTCGGTGCATCAAAATTGGTACCATATAAGATTTACATAAACAAATTTGATTCTTATGAAAATAATGAAGCCACAGTAAATTGTCTCTGACTGAAGTCAGCAACACACTGTTGATCTTATTCCTCATTGTTTACATGTATTGAGTGCACTTATTCTCCATTTAATACAGGAAAACAGTTACTGATAAAATTTTTCACGTACACAATATACTTCTTTTTTTAAATAGGGGAATTCCGATTTCATATAGCGAATGCGTTGTTCATAAAAATAAACCCAGACACCATGCAAACTTCAGTTTCTATAAATATATGTGTACATTCAACATGCAAGACGGTATTAAAATTGGTAAGTATTCTTTCAAATTTCGTTTGATTTAACAAATTTCAATCTGTAATAAATTTGCTTTAATAAATATGAAGTATACTTCCTCTAAGCGTTCCTAGTTTTATTTCAATGTTTTTCATTTCAGACATCGGTAAGATAAGGGCTGAAAATAGCAAACTGCGGAACCAAGTAACTTGTAAAGTTTGCTTTGAGAAAAATGTATCTTTAATTTTTATTCCATGTGGACACTTGGTATGCTGCTCAGACTGTGCCCCCGCCATGATGAAATGTCCTACATGTGACATGGCGGTAAAGAAACGTATTATTGCAAATTTAAAGTGAAGATATACTGCGGATTATGTACACTTCTTCATGTGTTCTGTGGAGGAGCGAAATTAAACTCCTCTGCATGACTCTTTGTATTTTTAGTTGGTAATTGATTGCAACAAGATATCTGCCTATAAATACCAGTAAATTGAAAGATATTGTACCAGTATCTACAAAATCTGTAACCAATGAATTTAGGAATATACATGAATTCATAAATAAATGTTTGAAGTATACCGGTTTTTCTTTTTCATTAAAATTCAACGTTGGTGTAAAGAAAGTATATCATGTAAACACTTACTTTTGAATGGACATGGCCAATTAGCACAAAAGAAAATGTAGTACCGTATAAGATTTACATTAAAAAAGACATTAAAATGAAAAAAGAAAAAATTCAATGATAAACATACACTTATTATCATTTTTAAACCACATTAAAGAAAACAAATAATATGCATTCGGCAAGGTGTTATAATTGATAAGCATACGGTACGGTGTTCTGCATTGTGGCTCATTTTGGGAGGAGTTGGAGAAGGGGTATTCCTTCAGACATTGACTTTTATATATCCTAAGCATAGGATTGATTGATTATTTGATTGTATATTGTTTTACGTCCCGTTCGAGAATTTTCACTCATATAGAGACGTCACCATATACCGATGAAGGGCTTCAAAAGACCTATACTCGGAAATCAGGACCATTGAGCAGTGAGGGTTCTTTATCGTGACAACGCCTACCGTGACACGGGGCCCAGGTTTTTAAAGTATCATCTGAAGGACTGGCAACTATAACTTCAAAGTACCGATCGCTTGGTGAAGGAATAGTTGCTACCTTTTTTTTAACGACTTGGGTCAGTCGCAGCCCTGATTCGAACACACGACCTTCCGATCACGGAGCGAGCGCTCTACCGCCTAAGGACAAGAGCGATTTATAGGTGAAGCTTTGTAAACAAAGTCAATTGCAGCTAATATTCTGAAATTCCAGTCTTCAATTAATGGTAAATTCAAAACCGTTGGATTTAAAGAAATAAAAATATTACAAACAGTAACGTTTGGAACATAGATTAAAAAATATAGGGGTAGCAGCGCGTCTACAATAAAGTTTTTCTTTATAACTCTGTGAGTCCCTGTAAGTAGGCTCACTTGATATGCCATTGGTTTTTATGTGACATATTGAACCGAAAAGTAAGTAGAATCGTTTAAACTGTAATTCAAAGGTTACTGCGCGGCTTGGGGTAAAAAGCTGAGTGGACTGGAGTCTTGTGGAGTCATTGAGTGGAGTCTGTATTATAACAGTACAGTAAGTTTGAGGACAAAACAATTTCTCTTGCATACACTCTCTCCCCTTCAAAGTCATTTTGGATTTGTGTAACAAGAGTGATACAAGGAACAAAAGAAATCAGTGCGACCAAAAAACTTTTGACCTTTAAATGTCAAACAGAAATGCTTTTTTAAAACAAAGACTTGGTAATACATTAACAACATCTAAACTAAGCTCAGATATATGACCCTGCTTACCTATCCAAAACAGACAAACCTAGTAAGAAGAGTTGACATCTTTATAATATCAACAAATAAGGAGTAAACAACTGCACTGCGGAACTGATGACAATTGAATTATAAAGGCACATGATTTAAATACCTTTTTTGTTTTACTTTTAAAGTACATTCAACCCTCTTTGTTGATATTTGAAGGTCACTATATATTTTTTTCTGTATCTCATTCCTCTTGATTTGCTTATATTAACATACACATATACCTTTTTCTGGTTAAATTGGGGGAAATCTGCTACAGAATCTAGTTGTATAGCCTACATGTACTTGTCAATTGGGTCTATCAAAGTTAAATGTCAAGGATTGATTTCTAGTATAAGACATAAAAAGGATAATATTTAAATAAACTCAACAGCTCATGTTGTTATTTTTAATGTTTTGAAGTACACATTGTGTGTTTTAAATGATGAAGCATTATTCACTCTTTAACATTTTACCTTTGTTTCTTGGGGAGGGGGCAGTGCTAATTCCTACCTATAATTAGTTTCACCAATGCATGTATTTGAACAAAGAAATTTTTTGTTTTATAAATGTGACTCAGAACAGAAGTTATATATATGATAAGTAATACAAAATATATTTAAAACTTTTTGTTACATCCTTACTGTTGAGTTATTACTTTCTTTGTACTTTGCTGATCAATGTTTCACATGCAGTCTATCAGCCAGTACAAGCATCACTGATGCAACTGTTTGTTAAAAACAAAAATGAAGACTTTCTGACAGAATTAATTTAATTGGAGTATGAGAACTTTAAAAGAATGTCGATCCCCATAACGATGTGCAGAAATAGATTTGGTTACTCATTAATATTGTTTTATAAAGACGACTCAAGCAAGATGCTGTCAACTTGATTCAGTTATTAAAATAAGTTACAAGGTTTTCTACAATGGACAAAATTTTCAATGTTTTTTTTTTAATACCATTATTTTATTTTGTATTTGACGTTGCTGAGACTTCCGATATTTACCTTAGGGGGTACAATTTATATGGTACCTAAAAGTTTTATTTTCAAAAAATCCTTGCAACATTTACCATGGGGCATGTTTTACAAAAGAACTTATTACTAAGATCAAACACCTTAAATGATAATATAATCTTGCAAAATCAATGACTCTGTTAAAAATTGCTTGCATAAAATATCTATCTAAATTAATTTTTAAAAGGATTAAAATCATTTTCAAATCAATGTTAAAAAAGAAAGTTAATCTCAAAATTATATTTTGGTCTTAGTCATAAGTACTTTTGTGAAACAGACCCAATTTGTCTTATAAGCATTATTTGCCCTCTTTCGAAGAATATCTAAGAAGTTTTGCTACAAAAATGCCCATGGATTGAAATATCCAGAGATTTTATTTTCCTTTGAAGAATCAGGTCTCAACTATCTGATCGTAAAGATGTGTTGCAAAATAAATTACTTATATGTCTTATCAGTTATTATCCCCTCGCAACGGAGTTGGGAGTGTATGTAAGTTTGTCCTTATGTAATTTGCTTCGGTATAGATGTCGAATGCTTAGCTGTCTTGATTTATAGATATGCTCTTTGCGAGGGGATACTCCGTTTCGCGGTATCTTTGTTAAATGCTTTTTCACTACAACCCATGTTTGTTGTTAAAAGTATAACCCAGTGGACATATTCTGAATAATGATGAAATTTTTATTAGGTTACGAGTTCGTTCATGTATGTGACCCGGTACTGTTGAACTGTTGAACTTGAAAAGAATGAAGGCGTGCAAGGCGCGGACGATCCCCCGCTCTTAGAAAGACATTTTTCAATTCTAAAAGTTCATGAAAAGTTATATTTTTCAAAAATTATTTTATCAAAATAGTCTTTTACACATTTGTTTCCTTTATTTTGTTTAATAAATTATTGACAATTTATTTTTCACTATTGTTTTTAAGGTATGTGAAAAGGAAAAAAAAAAGCTTCATGCATGATTCGAACTCTCTCCAAAGCTCACGGTTAGGCGTAAGACTGAACGCGTTAACCACTACGCTACGATATTTGCTTGTCTTGTTTGATGTCAGTGTGATTTAAATAAACGGTTTGTTGAAGCGTAAAAATTTTTCATAAATGTTCGATTTTCATATAGAATGGGTTAAGACTCCATTTTTTGAAACATGAAATAGATTTTACATTTACTTTTCCGTAATATAAAACGTTAATGAAAAATGGAGACTTGATCCATTCATATTCAAAAATCATTTTTTTATGGCTCCAATAAACCCATTTTCAACTAAATATGCTTTACTGTCAAATTTAAAAACAAATTATCAATCAAATAGTCATTCAATAAAATAATTGAACCAAATGTGTTGAAGATGACAATACGGAAAACATTATTTTAGAAAAATATAACTTTTCCGTGAACTTTGAAAATGAAATATATTGTCCCAGAGTCGGGGATTGTCCTCGCCTTGTACGCCCCCTTTCGTTATTGTGTATTAAATGTGTAATTATATTTTTACTGTACTTTTTATATAGATTCCAAATCGTAAACTGTGCCCAGCTGTAAATTTAGATTCTTTTTTTCTGACAAAAGCAAAACCACTTATATTTAGTTCAGTTCATTTTAAAGCAAATTTGATTTTACAAGCAACAAATGAGTAAACATTTCTAGTGCATTAATTAAATCTGTGATGGTAGTGGATGTTGGTCAGTTACCCAAAATAAAAAGTTTTTCCAGTTGATGAGTTGACATTGCAAAGAAAGCAATAACTCAACAGTAGGGATGTAATCCCGGTAATATGTTTTAAAAATGCTTTAGTATTACTGATCATATAATATAATTTCTGTTTTGAATCACATCTACAAAATAAGCTTTTCTTTGTTCAAATATTGGTGAAACTAATACCACAGCTCCCTCACCAGGAAACAAACTCAAGGTAAAAATTTTAAGAGTAAATAATGCATCATTGTTTTAAACGCACAATGTGTTCCTATAAAAAATAAAAAGAAACGAGCTGTTGAGTATATTTCAATAAATATTTTCCTTTTTATGTCTTATAATTAATCCTGGACATTTAATTTTGATAGACTTTTAATTTACAAATAAATGTAGGCTATACACCTAGAATCTGTAACATTTTTCCTAATTTAACCATAAAAAGGGAGATACATGTGTATGTCAAATAAATATAAAACATATTCGGAGAAAAATAGTAACCTTCAAATATCAACAAAGGGGCAGCTTGCACTTTAATAGTAAAACCTAAAATATGTGCCGTTGTAATTCAATTGTTGTCGTGTTGTCATCAGTTCCACAGGGGCGAGATTGTATGCAAGAGAAATTGTTTGTTCTCAAACTTTCTGTACTGTTACAATACAGACTCCACTCCATGACTCCACTCCACTCCACTTAGCTTTTTACCCCAAGCCTTACTGCGCCCGCTCAGCTACAAACCTGGGTTGGACAGCTGAAGACATTATAGGTTGTTTCTTGTGTACATATATAGATTGGCATGTCTGCATAAACACGATTTGTCTGAAAACCAAAAGATGCACTCTGAGACATACAAAGAGCACCCATTCATGAGAAAAATGAAGGCTTCTTAAAGAAAGGGTTATTTAAGTCTGATGAATCCTGAAAAGGTTATTAAAGTCAAATTGATAGTAAAATATCATCAAAATGAAATACTTATCCAACATTTGTATTGATACCTGAAAAATCAGAAGGATCCTTCTCTGATGTCTTCGGAGGTCCGTGTTTACTCTGCTCCTGATTTGTATTGTTTAAATGGACTATGAGCTTGAATATTGTTTGGTTTTTACAGTAACATTTACTCATCGTTTAAAAGAGATAAAGACAGATAGCACTATTGTACATTCTCTTTGTTAAACCACTAAGATACCTCAACATTCCGTAATTCAATTATTACCCTTTAAGGACTATCAACCCTCGGTATATAAAAGTTTAAAACTACTTGGTATATATAATATACTCTTCTAAATCGACCCGACAAAGTTATTCATATCACACCCTTTCTTCATGCCATGGTTTGCCAGTTTCAGATTTACTTCTAAATATATCTTGGTTTTGCAACAAATTTTCAGTTTCAGACCTAAATATAACCTATATTTCCCTGGTCTATATTTAGTTTTTTCGTTCTTTTTTTAAGCAGGCAGTGATTGTTTCTTATACACTGGTACCCTGACATTTATGATTTATTCGCGAGCTCATTTAGACTACTCAACAGTACGACTGGGCTGAAAACCAGTACAATATTTTAACAACATCGAATTTTTTAATCCAGTAAGTGTTTAAATATGTATTTTTTGCTCATTAAATACTGAAAGGAAATTAAACACGTTCGAAGCTTTGATAAATCTGATTTCATTTCTTTTTCAGTAAAGCATTTATTTTTTTAAAATTTAATTCTCAAATAGTAATTCACAAATGGCGTATCATGTTATGTGCGGGGAAGATAATTTTTTTGTATCGATTTTCACTCAAAATGTGTTGTGTGCATGTATTTGCTTGCGTAAATATACTTTTATTTCAGTTAGGAATGCCTCGAACTCACAATTTGAATAACATAATATTATCATATGCACACTTTAAATGAAGGACTATTGAGTGAAATATAATTTTACAAGGGTTGTTCTTCGGAAAGTTTGTGGACTATGCCAATCTTCGTTATACAATCTTCAAGAAATTTAAAATCAGCACATTATCATATGTAAAAATTGTTTTGTTTAAGTGTGAAGTTTCATTCCATGTGATTTGATAGAATTTATGTTATTTGATTTTAAAATCAACACGTTTTGTAACCACGGAACAAACTCAACAATTAACACTGTAACGTCATAAACATACCGACATGAGGTTCTCAAAAATACTATCCATATAAATTTCACACAGTATTGCCCAAAACCAGTGCACTCATTAAAAACGTTTCTCTATCACTATTTTGCTAACAATTATTCCAGTAGCATCATTTTGTTTGTCAATGTTATATTTTTCAATGCATAAGTGTGCTTTCACAAGGTCAGCATCTGTGAAGCATGACGTTACTAACTTTTCAATGTTTTTGATAAAAATTTTACAGATGATCCCGTTTTCTCGCGGATCACCATAGTCTAAATAGAGTACTTTATCATTCAAATACCATACTTCCTCCGGTATTTTCAGATTTTTTTCCTGGATTTTTCCAGCAATTGTATGATTAACTGCTGCTCCGTTACGTTCTACAACGCCATCTTTTTTGCCTTTTTCTATGAGGACTACATATCTTCTGAAACTGATTTCTTTCAACGAAGCAAAATATGAAGTCATAATTTAGAATCAGAAACGATGAAACAATTCTTAATTTGAACGTGTAGAATTTTTTTTCCGTTTTCATTTTTGTGTCATTTTACAGAGGATATAAGTTCAGACATTATTTAGTGTCTTGATTGTAATTTACAAAATTTTGATCTGCTGCGAAATCCGATTTTCGCATGTTTTAACTCTAAATGAGTTGGAAATAAATCAAGATATTTAAAAAAAATTTAATACACATGATGAAATATGTGGAGATAATGAACAGCATTCGAGCTCAAAAGTCGATTAAACATTACAAAATAGGAGCAGAGCAAACACGTACCTCTAAGACATCAGAGGTGGGATCAAGTGCCATGGAGGAGTGAGCATCCCCTACTGACCGGTCACATCCCCCGTGTGCTCCTTGTCATGATCAGAAAATCTGTCGACAATTCAGTGTGTAAGTAATGACCTAATAATTGGTATGAAAAAAGTCAGTCGGCATTTAATGTTGAAATATTTCTTCCAAATTTGGATATAATATGACATTAAGTAAAAGAATTATGACGGTAGTCCACGAACTTTCCGAACAACCCTTGTATAAACTATTCTCTGTGCAGTTTTATGTGTTTTTGAAACGTTGTTGTTATTTATTATACGGAATACATTGAATGGCCTGCATCAAAGCCCTTTCCGAAGAACTATATGTTTGTAACGAGAGTGTATTATATATCAATAAAATAACAGGAAATTTTAAAAATAATAGGAAGGGAAAAAACATGATATCGATAGCTATTTTTACCATACTATATCTACGCCTTTTTACGCTGCAATTTAGTACTTCATTTTTAATATTTACTTTTGACCAAATCTATCCATTAATAACTGCTCTCTGATACTTGATTGGTCAATCATTTTAAAGAAAAGGTACCCATATCGTAATTTCCCAAACACCAAAAAAAAAAAAAAAAAAAAGAAAAGAAAAAAAAAGAAACAACAACAATATGGCACTTTGATAGAAAAATAAGGCGTGCAATGAAGATCGAATTCTTTATTGAACGGCATTTTGCAATAGTAATAAATAGTTATGCATAAGAGATACAGCACTTGAATGAATAATGTTAGTCATAGATTCGTTATGCATTAAAATAATTTCTGTTGATTTCTCATTTTTTTTTTCTTTCAAATGTTTAGAAGGTTGATTAATTCTATATACATACATCTTCTATCTGTTCAAATCTATAATCATAGTGAATATCACGTATACTAGTACTTTAGAAATTTACTACTTCAATGGAGTCGTACACCGTTAAGAATTTCATACTATAGATTATATGCAACGTCTAAACACACGCCGGCAAATTTCTAAAAAAAAAAAATCCTTTTTCATCCGAAATGTTTTATAAATACCATATAAATCGTGGTCAAAGCACAAAAGTGTTTGTGAATCGGGACAAATAAACCCTTAAATTTGCAAAAAGTTGTGCTTTTTTCCTCCCACCTGGTTCCTTAGGGATTGTGAAAAAAACTTCATAGATCCTTCCTTGCGAAAGTTTGTGCATCGAAACGCCACTAATTACCAAAGCTTCCTGTCAATTTTCAATCTAGTACTAATCTGTTCATATAAGGTACAGGGTATGTGGCCCCTTTTGTAAAATTATTAAGTGCTTTGCTTGACCAGAATTGACATAGATGATATCTAAGCAATAGCTCGAAAAAAATTAAATGTCATTTGTTAATTCAAATTCAAATTTTAAAAGGCTATATAAATTCGTTAAAGATTATTTACAACAATAACCAAATTTCTCGCTTTTAAATACCAAATACATTTAAATATCTCGAGAAAATAAGGTGTTATGAGAATTGTTTGATCTTCTGTGCCTATCTGATGCAATATATCATTGAATTTGTTGTAAATTGATGAGCTACTACTGAAAGGAGGTTGTATGCTGTCAAATCACATTTTATAGGCATATATCAAGTTCTTTGATGGACTTCCAAATGGCAACCCATCATATTGCGGAGAAAAATGGGGATGATGCATATGCTGACCCATCTCGTCATGGAAGTGACGAGGAAAGTTTGTCTAAGCGATCAGTAACAGAATTGACCGAGGTATTTGATTTTAAATGTTTCCTTCATGAATGTTAACTTCATAATTTACTTAGTATACATACATACATAGTTATTACATACATACGTACATACATACATACTTACGCACATACATACATACAAAACCAGTTTTGGGGAAAACATTCAGTAACAATATATGAGAGATTCTTTTATCTTATGTGTGAATTCTTTTAAAGGTTTATACTTGTTTCATTTTCCGATCGGCTAAATAAAGTTGCATAACATGACGTATTGTGTATCGAAATCAAGGCAGAATGCCTTTTGAAAATAGCATCTTTAATTTTCTTTTTTCAAAGATAATAATTAAATAATTGTAAATTCAATTTCGATTTACGATTTTAAAAATACTGAGTGCAAAACGTATTTATTTGTCAAAATGACATCACAGGGCAATTTGAGCGATTTGAAGAGTAATTTTTCATAGACAACTAAAACAATATTTTATAAGTAACGATTTTTGACAAACTTGCAGATTTAATGGTTTCCTCAAATATTCTACAAAAACTAGATATTAAAAAATTAGTTTTTTTCCTCTTGCACACCTGTTTTGAATGAACGATTGACGAAAAAAGGCAAAGAAATAATAAAGCTCTAAACTACGTTAATAATTCATCCCTTGAAATCAGTGAGAATATTTGTAGTTATAATTATTGATTTTTCTGTTCACTCTGTATCAGGAAAATGCAGTCACCCATGAGACTTCCAATACCGTAGAAAATATTCTGTGGACTGAAGCAGCGCAAACAGTTCTTGCCATGGAATATCTACCTGTGGTTGTGCAAAACGCCATCAATTCTATTTTTCGTGATCATGGTTAGTTAACTTACTTTTTCTTAAAGTAAAGTCGTGTGTATAATTATGACACTAAAATTAACATTTCACAAACCAAAGTCTTGTGAGTGTTTTTTAATGAGTTGTTAGTATAAGAAATGTCTTCTTTATTGTCGTGTGCAACTATTATGAGGTCAATATGTACTGAATCAGATGTTAAGTTCTATATGAACGACAGTGCCTTTGAAATAAGACATAATATCGCTTCATAGTACAAATATAACCTCATACAAAATCAAACAAACCGAGCAGACAAGAGACTATTTATATGTTTTCACATTTAGAATTCTTTTGATGAATAACTTGTATTCCTGGGTTGCCAAATAAGCAATTTTCAACTTCAAAGATCACGACACAGTTCCTTTGTATCATATGACTTATGACTTGACTATTAGATTATATGTTGAATTTTGGTTCTGGAAGGATAAGTAAGTGCCAGTATCAATGGATTTATTTACTATGTGCTTCTTACTTAAAACTAGGTGCAAATTCCGAGTTTTCTGCGCAAGATATCTTAGAAGAAATTGAGAAATTTAAAAGACGGGAAAATGTTACAGATACAAGTCTGAAAGTGCCTTCTTTTCCCGAGAATAAAAGAAACGAGGCCACACCGAAAGGTATTCTTTTTACTTGAATGTTCTAATAAGGATGATTTTATTGGATGAACATTAGACAACACTCTATATAATCTCCCAGGTTATATTTTTCGAAGTAATTTCTTTTTTAAGAAATCGTTCGAAGCCGTGAACAAGACCAAGAGGACGCAACAAATGTCTGAATACATGTATCTATTAAATAAAATGCTTTCATACTGCCTTCAAAAGTGTATGGTTGCATATTTCTTTACTCTATATGCAAGATCATTTTCTAAATGCAATTTAAGTTATTTCAATATAACAGTTTTAAAGAGGGCTGTTGATAATCTAAATTTATTTGAAAATGAGGAATTATGTTAAATGTCACTTTTTGCACATATGGAATCTTTAACTTTTACAAAAAACTAAAAAGGGGATTAGGTCATTTTAGAGGTCGTTGGTTATCTTTCTATATAAATATGCTTCAATTTAATTCTCCTTTTTTCATCATAACATTACTTTTTTAATTAAAGAACCCGAAGAGTTACTAAAGCAGAATGATGAGATGAGGAAGATGCTACTATGTAAAAGTTGTGGAACATTGGATGGACACAATGTTATTGTCAACTGTGGACACCTCATATGCAACGAATGTGAATCACACATAAATGTATGTTCCTTTTGTGAGCAAGAAATAAAAAAAGTGATTCAGATTCACTTTACAGAAAATTCTTCGTTCGAGTAGATTTGAATTCGAATGAAGACACTACTTGAGTTGAAATGAGAAGTATCAGCTCTGAAACCAGTTCTCTGATGTCTATGAATCGGCAAAGCAAATTCGGGAGGGATTATTGAGTTGAAATTTGGAAGAACTAATGCAATATTAAGATTCTCTTCTTTGAGTTTTAAATGCCTCGTTCTTTTAAAAATTATTTTCAATCTCACCTAAAACTTTCGAATAACATTTTCGTACATCCTATACCGGGTTATAAATTAAGTTAAATGACAGATTAAGAGAGCTGGGTGGTCATGCATGGTCATTTTTTACTATTTAAACATCCTGAAAAAGGCGAGCTCTGTATGAAAATATAGGAAATTGCATCAAATATTATAGCTACAAATTGTAGTTTTCTTCTTTTCTATATATTATGACTACAAAAATCATATTTCATATTTTGAGGTGGATCTTTTGGGTAATTTCGTTGACCACCCAGCCTCCTTAAGAAGAGTACGAAATCTTTTTAATGATATTTTTTAAAGTCTAATGCTGTTATTGTTCTAAATTCCTTTAAGGTACTGTTCACTTGGAAAAATATTTTTTGCAAAACTGAATATTTAAAAATATATGCTTAACAAAAATGGATATTGAAAAATATATGTAGCCTAGCAAATTGTGGTATGAAACAATATGCTTAGCAAAAATGAATAATGAAAAATGGGATATGTAAACTGGGATATTGGCGGTTTGTTGCATGGCGGGAGAACACGTCGAAGAATAAAGATGACGTTGTAAGCCCTTATAAATGACGTTGCAAGTTCCTAGCAATGGCGTTCTACTTTATGTTGTTGAAAAAAACGCAATACAGTTAGCAAAACAAGGAAGACATTGCAAGATAAACAAAAGATGTCAGTTACTTACGTCGAATCTTACTGTTAAGTAAGTCTGTAAGGAAATTTAAAATTAAAGGTGCAACTAGGTTCAGGATAATGACAATTACATAAAAGTATTGCTACATATATTTTATATTTTAAGAAATTAAACCTTTTCGGAACAATTTTAAGTCTTTACACTACGACTGCCTTAATTTTTATTCTAGGTGTGAGGTGGAAAATTTAAATTCTTAGTAATTCAAATATGTTTTAAGTGGTGTTTGGGGGGGGGATTCTTGACCATTTTTAAAATAACGCAAATAGGTAAATATGTGTCCTTAAAAGAGCACTGTCCTAAACCTAGTTGCTGATATATCAGAAAGACATATGACAATTATGAACAAAGATATATCTATAAGGTTGCTAAGAAGCAAAGCAAGATAAAATAGTGACTAAGATAGAGATGGAGATGACACTTATCTAGAGATTGATAGAGTCTGCAGTCATATGAGTCATATGAGTGATATATGACAACTGCATATTTAAAGATTTAAAACAAAACTGGAGGTACAACTAGGTTCAGGATAACCAAAACTATGTATGTTTCCAAATAAGCGTAAATGGTTTTTTTGTACGTTTGTGTTATGCAATCATCAACAAAATTCTTGGTATAAAAGAGGAAAACGTAACTTTGGTGTTTTTTTTAAATCTTCCAAAAATGGCAAATTATTTTTTTAAAAGCCCTTTTAAAATTTCGAAAACACGCTTAAATTACAAATAGTTAAAAAAGAGTTGTCGTATATCTAGTTGTTTAAACGTTGAAGAGACATTTAGTTCATGTATGTTTCATCATTCATCTAAATTATATATATTTATTGTTTTTATTAGTTTTATCACATGATTTTATTTGTGCAAAATATAGAGATGTATATTCATAATATATAGGCAACTGTAACTTTATTGTAAATATATATCATTCTTACATTGAAAGGTACCCATTAGCTTTCCTTTACAGCTCAAAGATGTATAACATTTTAGTACATTGTGAATTTCTTGAAGAATGTAAAGGGAATATAAAATTTCATTTTTGTGGGTTTTCCTTACCGATTTTTAATACAATGTAAATCTTCGCAATTTACTTTCTTTCATATGAATATTTTTCGTTTCGAATTATTGTTTTCACAAAAACAATTTAAAACTACATGTATGAAAGAAAGATAAATAACTGCGAATTATCAGAGAATTCAGATCGACTTTGTATGTACACTTCATTATAATATTAATACTGAAATGTTAATATCAGCAATATAAGGAATATATAATCACCAACAGCATGTTTAGCTTTCATTGCACTTATAAGTGAATAATAAACACATTTATTATAACGTTTGAGCTCGTTTCCTTCTCTTTTTTTTCTTTTCTTATTTCTTCTTGAACACAGGCTTTATATGCCATTTTAGTCAGGAGAAACAATTCATTATCCCTTTCGAATTTTTTTTTTTAAAATTAGAAACTAATACATTGTAGGCAGTATTCGGAGAGCCCCAGGAGGAAAAATTGAGGTCGAGGACAGTTTAGATTTATTGTTTTGAAGAGGATTGGAAATAAGGCAATTGCAAGAATCTACCAAGCACTTAGTGTCGTACAAACACTTTTGAAAAATACTAAATTCGAACAAAAAAAATCAAGCTTTGAGAACAAGTCAACTTAGGAATAAAATAGACGCAAAATTTCATTGTGTATAACCTAAAACCATGTAGGCGTCGACAAAGCTACATTACACCTGATTTTCAAAGAAAATAGAAATTCTTAATTGTAAACAATACAGCAATTTAATACAAGTGTATCCATACCCCGTTAAAATTATAAGCTACATTGGTTCACTTATGGAGCCAATGAGAGTTATGTGGTTAACTGGAATATCTACTACCAGTCAAGGTCAGATTAATTGTAGCCTTCCCAGTGAAGGACAAATTGATTTTTTTTTTCCAAACTATACTCGAAAGTTTGTGCATTTGTACAGCCAACTGTATTTTTGCTAAGCATATGTTTCAATATTTATCAATATAAGTTCAATAACTCTGTATTAAAAATCATACACCTTCCGGTACAAAAATTAAAAAAAATCCGGGATCCAAGCTGAAATAGACCTGTAGTACACGCCTATCCCCTCCCAGAATAATGGGTTTCCAAAGTGGTTTTTTTATGCTCGCCATTTATTTTTTCAACTGAATTTTTTCCCGGCTGTCCCCTTTTTTGTTGAAAAAATGCACTCTTTGTCAGTTAAAAGAACATTCTTGTTCACTGAAAAAGTGCACGTCAGCATGTGTATACAGTATGTTGACAATAGCCGAATCTGAATGCATTATAAGATACATCCAAGCAAAATGTATAGTAGACCATTGCGAGCTCATTATGACAAGACCTAAAACCAGAGAGTAAACAAATGAATGTTATCTGCATGCGTAAGGGAAAAAGAAAGGTCAGTTTACCTTGTGGCAACTAAAAATAATTAAAAGGTTAGTAGTATGTGGAACGAGTACACTGAAAGTTTATCTTCAAATCAATCAAACCAAATATGATGGTTAAGTTGGCATCAGCACAATATAAGTACATTGTATATATAATATTGAGAAGAGAACAGAGATGTTTAGGATTACATTGCAATTCATTTTCAATACAGCCCGTGTATGTCCGCGTGTCTATGCTATTTAAATATCTACATGTACTCTTATTTTAATCTCTATATAGCTTGGCCCTATCTACCGATCATTAGTCATACGTGATAACGAATAGGGACGCTGAATTACAACAGGTTAGCGTGGCTTAAACATTGGTACCTTGATAAAATTTAATAGGAGGCATTCCTTTAAGATATATACAGTGTATATTTGGGAGAGGCATTGAAGCTGGAATTATTTACATTCCCTCTTGATATAATGTAAGGGAATTAATATGCTAAAATTGATGTCATCGTTCTGTTCAATGTAAATTAGATGAAAGAATCACTAATATAAATCTAGTTTTATATACAAGCAAAAAACTCTCAAAGGGGTACGATAAAAGCTTACTTGTCATCTCTCTTAGCCTGTTGATCCGGCTTAATATCTGCAATTAAGTTACATATATCCACTGTTGATAACTTGCTACATTCATTTTTCTATAGAAAATGATTTAGACAGTCTTGAGTCGAACATTACGCATGAGGACCACATTCATTTGTGCACCTTGTGGTATGGGGTGTTGTACGAAAGAGCTTGCAATATATTCTACTGCTTTTTTGCTTGGATCATCTCGGTATATTACCTCGTAATGCATTTTAAAAATAAATAAGCTCTCAATATCTACATTTGATATTGAGTTGGACACTCATAAAATTAGGTACTAGTTAACTGTATGCGCATGCTAACGTGCACTTGTTCATTGAAAATGCATGGGTTTTTCATGGGTACGCAGCATTGTTTTTCAAAGTGAGGGTTATGGGTTGGGGGAGGTAGCATGGAAAAGAGCCAGGAACCATGGAACTGAGGGGCAACTGTTTCATCAAAATTATACTGGAACGTGCTTCATTTTTATGTCGATCAAGAATTACATGCTTAAAAAAAACGTACATGCCAGAAGGTAGGAAAGAGTACTACCCCCCTTGCCCCTAACTCCTTATTGTAATTTCTGTATAGACTTTAAAGTGCCCCTGAATTAGCCAGTTTCACAAAAAACGTGGGCAAGTTGAAAATTTCATTGATCCTTCGAATTTTAAGCAGTTTAATAATACCGGGTAAAGAGAAATATTTTTCTTGATTTTGTTTTGCTAAAATATATGCAGTGCAAAAATACCTACAGATTAGTAGAAAATGTTACATATTAAATGTGATTTGTGTGCATTGTAACTCATCGAAAAGAGCAAGCATTTCTTGGACAAAAATGAGAGAAGACCAAGAGGCCATTATATTGCAGCAATGGTTCTGTAGTATGTTTCCTGACTCTGACGAGTTGAATTGATAGTTTTGGGTTATGATCCTTTTGTGGAGAATATATTTATTTATTTATTTATTACTTAGTGTAACTGAGATTTTGTACAACATGTAGGTACTTTTGTGAATTGTCAGTTTGATTTAATTATTAATTTTTTTTCTAGAATTAGAAATAGGGTTTAAATTGTGTTTCACGAAATGTTTGATATATTGATATTTCCAGCGGATCCAGTTGGTGTGAGGACGAACATCCCCCCTCAGTTTTAAATATTACTTAGATTTGTGTAAGAAGTAGCTTATGACCTCCCCCCTCCTCGAAACTTAACAAGGTCCCCCTTAGTTGAAAGAAGGATCACAAATATGAATGTATGAAGAAAACGGTCTGTTTAACTTTAAATCATGTTTGCTCCGAGTTCTACATGTAAATACGTACTGTAAATCACCTCTTATTCGCGAGACCTTTATTTTCGCTTAATTATGCGATACAGAAAATTTCATTGTCGCATATAATAGTAGTAGTCCTTATGATTATATACAGCAGTAACGACAATTCGTGAAACTTTGTCTTGCTAATAAGGAGAAATTGACTATCTCGCGAAAATAAGG